ACACCCTCCTCTGTGTTTATTTGCTTAGTGCTTAGGGGATTTGTGTGTTTGGCACCATTTGGTGCAGAATGCTGAATGTGAACGGGAGAAACTTAGCCTTCAAAGTGAAAAGAGACGCACATGAATGTTTAAACAAACATCACTCATGGTCAAATCAAGAAAAAAATGGTGATACACACAGGATGAGGAAGAATGGTGATCTAAACTGTGTTTGCCAGACAGACACATACACTGCAAACAAATCCTGTGCAGTCTTTTTGTGTTGATTTCTTTAAAAAATGTAACAAGATACATTTATGTGAGAAGCAAAATTGCATAGGTTTTAATAGGAAGCTTTTTTTTTTTTTCGTGTCCAGATGATAATGAATAATGAATGGCCTCTTAATGGTTCTGTCATTTTTCTTCTCCGATGTTTTCATTTAGTTCAGATCATTTAAACTGGAAAACAAGATCGAAATACTAATTAAGAAAATGCGAGAAAGTAAAGAATTTAAATAGAAAAACAAACGAGGAACCCAATCTGCATTCCCTAAAGGAAAGATTAAAGTTTTATTATCACGACAGTCACACTGTGTCTGAGAAACACTACATGGTGTGTTTGCAGAGAAAAGACGGCTTAAGTTAAAAAAATAAATAAATGTAAAATATGCAAATAAATGTAGCCTAAGTAAATAGAGTAATTGTAAAAAAAAAATTGCATGCTAAACATTCTAGCAAAGTAAGTTAAATTATGTTAAAGGTACACTATCGATACATCATCAATCATTCCTCCAAAATGTGTTTTTGTCAAACCCTGATTCACTATGGTACGCCTGTTATACTGTAAGTGTTTATATTTTAGACCTCTCAGGATAGTCTTCTTGTGTGTTCGTCACTTGATGTCTCGTCATAAAGTTGCTCCAGCCATTTTGACATTTATTTGTCACAACGAGTGAAACATTTTTACAAAACGCTGCTAAATCTCAAACCTACTATGGAGATATTTTTGGTGCAAAACTACTGAACGCCTGTGACAGTGAAATTTGTAGTTGTAGAGAATAGCCCTACGTGTGTATCAGTACATTTGAAGTCACAGAGAGAAATGTTTTAAGAGTTTCAAACTTGTAGACTTTAGACTAAACACAACAGTTACACCCTCTCAAATTGTCCATTGAAGCCGCACAAATCCTATTCCACAAATCACAAATGAAGAAACTCATACGCTCGTCTGACCGATACCCGATCCGGCAAAAAAGTTTTGGATCGGTGCATCCCTAGTTTAAAGCTACACTGTGTAACTCTTTTAGTTTATTCTTAGCTAAAAACACTTAGTTCTTTCAAAAATATATGTGCTCATTAATGTTCAAGTAATAAAGTATTCTCGTGAGTGTATAATATGCCATTGAAAATACATACGGGTAAGGGGTTCTAATGTTGCCCCTCCATCTTGAAAGTATATTAGCCAAAGAGCGGCATACCCGTTAATTCAAGCTTCGCCTTTCGCGTTTACGTTTGAGCTAACACTCATGGACGAGGTCGAACTGGAAGCCATGTTAATCTTGGACTACATTGGCCACCGTAGGAGTTAAAACGAAATCGGAATTGAGAGGAACAGAAACTAATATTGACTGGGTGGTCATATACCTTTTCACCACTAGATGGGGGTAAAAATCACACAGTGTAGCTTTAAACTCACCATTAAATCAAAATAGACATTTTTTGGGAAATATTACAATATTTATCACAATAATGTATCCATGCACATTAATATATATATCAGGGGTGGGGTAAACGATTATTAACTAAACGATTAGGTGGGCGATTATTTTATCGATTAGTCGACTAATCTAATGACTAATTGGATGACTAATATAAAGAATATTTTTTTCTGCTGCTCAATTAATAAAAAAATAATATCTCAAATAAATACTAGCATACTGAATCAAGATAATATAAGCTGGCTAACGTTAGTCTAATGTTATGTATTTGAACACCATCATTATAACTCTACAACCGCCAAAACCGTGTTATTAAAATATTTTTTACAAACATTTTTATCATAGAGAATGTTTAAATATTAATATCAGCTGAGGAGGGAAACGGAGTCGGAGGCGGAGTTCACCTACTGATCAGAGCGCGTGCTGACACGGAGTAAAGCCTTGTTTATACTCGACACATCCGCACGAGCGCGAATGTGCGCACGGCAAAAATGGCGCGTTGGGTGCGCAAGACCAGGAAGACTGTGGCTGGCTGTGTGTACGCCTTTTTTTTGTAACAGCGTAAATAAAAAAAATAAATAAAGAAGCGTCGACGCAAAAATATGACGTCGACGCAATTTTGACGCCGACGTCATCGACGCGCCGCTACAGCACTAATATATATATATATATATATATAATTAATTTGCCCTGTAATCTTTCATCAAAATAACTTCCCCTCCCTCTTGTAGCGACATCACTTCTCTTCTCTGATGACGAGGGCGGAGCAACCTGTCACTCATATGAGATCGACTGATAGCAAGCCACGTCCATCCAATCAATTCCCCGTGGACAAAATCAAGCCCCGCCCTACATTTTTTTCTTCTTCGAGAAGCCAAAGAAAAGACTATTGCGACTTCAATTTTATGTCAACTCTAAACTAGCCCATGCAAGACAAAAACCACAGCAGTAGTTTCTATTTGAACCAGATAACGAGTCTCATTTTGAATCTTATGCGCACACACTATGAGTCCATTACACACCAGTATTTCATGACATGGAGCAGATTTAACCTTGTTTACTCACAATCGCCAAAATGAACAATGAAATTGATTCATAACGATATTACACCACTCCAAATAGAGATACATAGCGATGCCAGAGGGAGCGAACAAAGAAAGGCCTGAACCAACCGTGAGAGTAAAAATCTAATTAAAAGCATAAACTATACCTCTCTTGCCCTTTTTCGCTCTTTCTAAATCTCTTTCTCTCACACGCCATCATTTTTTATGATAAACGTTAACCGTCGCACATTAAGGCCCCTCGATAAAGTTCCACGACAGTGTTTAGAGCATCCGGTCCCATAATAACTACACGCCCTGACCCCGAGTAATATCCGAGGTGTGATTATGACAGTAAAGTTTCCACCACAGAGATATTAGAGCAGAATTACTGCGGCGGGTTGATATCAAAGACCCATTAGAGTCATTAGCTCAATAGGAGCTTGTTAACCTCGGCGTAATGAATTGAGCTTTTCGCTCGCCCACACCGAGAGCGGCTCGTGTCGGTTTCTCCTGCGGTGAGGTGATTGTGCTCCAGCCTCAGCCAATACATGCTATTAACGTCAGCGGAGGGCTGCTATAGCTTTCCCAACCTCGAAATTAAAATGCACAGCAGGGTTTCTTCAATAGCAATCGACAGCTAGTTGAAGTCAACAACAGGTTCATACACTAGCATTAAAATGTTTGGGGTCAGTCAATTGATTAATACTTTTATTCAGAAAGGACGATCAAAAGTGACAGAAAAGACTTTCAAAAGATTTCTATTTCAAATAAATGATGTTCTTTTGAACTCAAATCCTGACATGTCACGGTTTCCACAAAAATATGAAGCAGCACAACTGTTTTCAACTTTGATAATAATCAGAAATGTTTATTCAGTTGCAAATCATCATATTAGAATGATTTCTGAAGGATTAGAGTAATGATGCTGAAGACTCAGATTTGATCAATTTACAATATACTCACATAGAAAACAGTTACTTTAAATTGAAATAATATTTCACTATATCACTGTTTATACTGTTTTGATCAAATAAGTGCAGCTTTGAGCAGATCAAAAACATCTTTCCGGCACCAAAATTTTGATTGGTAGTAGGGCTGGGGCAACGATTAATCGCGATTAATCGCATCCAAAATAAAAGTTTGTGTTTACGTAATATATATGTGTGTGCACTGCGTATAATTATTTTGTATATAAAAATTCACACACATGCATGTATATATTTAAGAAAAATGTGGTATTAATATATAAAATATTGATATTTATATTAGGGCTGTTAAACGATTAATCACGATTAATCGCATCCAAACTAAAAGTTTGTGTTTACATAATATATGTGGGTGCACTGTGTATAATTATTTATACGTATATAAATACACACACATGCTTGTATATATATTTAAGAAATATTTTCATATATATACTGTATGTAGATTTTTATTTAATTTATATTGTATATAAATATTTTATATATAAATAATATTTTTTTTCTTAAATATACATGAATGTGTGTGTATTTATATATATATATATAAAATAATTATACACAGTGCACCCACATATATTATCTAAACCCAAACTTTTATTTTGGATGCGATTAATCGCGATTAATCGTTTGACAGCCCTAATTTTTATTTAATATAAATCATGTAAAAATATATATCAAGTATATACATGCAAAAATGTTTTATATATACACATGCATGTGTGTGTGTATTTATATATAGGCTACAAAATAATTATACACACTACACAAACATATATTATGTAAACAGAAACCTATATTTTGGATATGATTAATCGCTATTAATAGTTGCCCAGCCCTAACTGGTAGATAATCTACCAGATTGATGTCTATCATTTAATCATCTTCCTAAATAAACCAATACAGCAGTGATGCTAATCATACGTCAGCTCCTGCAACACTCATGCTCTTTATATGATGGTACTGCAACTTCAATATTTCTTTAAACATTTTGAAAGTTGGGAAAAACATGAGTTATACCTGTACTTGCACCTTTCAACTATGAATTGTAGCATATTATCTTTTCACTATCCCCAAAAGTGGATTTGGATCACACACTGTTCTTGGCTTTTACTTTGTATTCTGTTCTCACAGTGTGCAAAAAGACATTTACGCAATTGGCAAATGCTTTTATCTAAAGTGACATTGCACTGAAGGTATACACTATGGAAGCTTGTTTCTGCCACAGAATGAAAAAGGTAATTGTAACGCTTTATCACACAATTCTGACATTTTTTTTCTCAGAATTGTGTGACATAACCTCTCTTTTCTCAGTGGCAGAAACAAGCCTCTATAAACGTAAGTATGTTGTAACTTAAGTAATACATATTATCAGTTCATGCATTCCCTGTGGATTGAACCCATGCTGTTTCCAGGGCCATGTGATACTGTTTGAGCCACACACTCTTAGAAGAAATGGTTCTATTTAGAACCAGAAATGGTTCCATCCCCCGCTTCATATATGGAACTCCAAAATGGTTCTATAGAACCATTTTTTTTTTGGTAAAAGCCCCCAGGGTTCTATTTAGAACCCAGAGGAACCCTTTTTTAAGAGTGTATAGAACCTTTTAGGGGTTCCAAATACGTAGCGCTGATAGAACCTTTTAAGGTTCTATATAGAACCCAGAGGAACCCTTTTTTAAGAGTGTATAGAACCTTTTAGGGGTTCCAAATACGTAGCGCTGATAGAACCTTTTAAGGTTCTATATAGAACCCAGAGGAACCCTTTTTTAAGAGTGTATAGAACCTTTTAGGGGTTCCAAATACGTAGCGCTGATAGAACCTTTTAAGGTTCTATATAGAACCCAGAGGAACCCTTTTTTAAGAGTGTATAGAACCTTTTAGGGGTTCCAAATACGTAGCGCTGATAGAACCTTTTAAGGTTCTATATAGAACCCAGAGGAACCCTTTTTTAAGAGTGTATAGAACCTTTTAGGGGTTCCAAATACGTAGCGCTGATAGAACCTTTTAAGGTTCTATATAGAACCCAGAGGAACCCTTTTTTAAGAGTGTATAGAACCTTTTAGGGATTCCAAATACGTAGCACTGATAGAACCTTTTACGGTTCTATATAGAACCTTTTCTTCTAAGAGTGCAGGACTGTGACAAAAACAACAACCAGACACTGTCATTTACTCACCAGATTTAACAACTCTTAAAAAACCTTTTTGTTAGTGCACAACCTATAAATAGACTAAAACCTTTTGTGCAATGGCTCTTCAAGGTTCTTCTGCCAATAAAAAACCTTTATTTTTAAGTCTGATATTTTTAATTAGATATCTATAATTAGATATCTTATCTAAAAATGTATCTTGGAATCTTATTCCTTTTGTATCATCTGATTAAAAGTCAATTAATATTATACTGCCACAACTGGATTGCATTGGATAAAGCCAAGTCAATTATTTCCATAGGAAAGTAATTATCAATGATGCAAACAGAATTCAATTCTGCTGTAAAGCAGAATGATAATTTGCAACATATGTATTGTGAAAAGTGCTATACAAATAAATGTGAATTGAATCGAATTGAACATTGACACTGTTATTGAACTAAACTGAATCCCCACAGTAATACTGAGTTTAATAATGACACTATCTTCCGTAGAGCCACTTTATACAGTAGATAAATTGCATTTGTTTCATAATTGATGCTGAATAATGACACTTGACTTCTGTAGATCTGCTTGACTCAGCTAAAACTGAATTTCTTTAATATTTAATGAATTTTGCAACTGTTATTGTCCTGTTTATCACCATGAAGCTGCTTCAATACGATCTGCATTGTATAAATATGTGATTTGACATTCACTGACGGTCTGGCCATAGTTGCTGGTGACTAGCCTTAAAGGAGTAGTTCACTTTTAAAAAGGTCTTTAGCTGATAATTTACTCACCCCCATGTCATCCAAGATGTCCATGTCTTTCTTTCTTCAGTCGAAAAGAAATGAAGGTTTTTGATGAAAACATTCCAGGATTTTTCTCCATATAATGGACTTCAATGGGGACCAAACGATTCAAGGTCCAAATGAGTGTATCAGTGCAGCTTCAAAGGGCTTTAAACGACACCAGACGATGAATAAGGGTTTCAGTCATTCAACAAACAAAATGCCTCGAAAAAAGATTTGTTGATGAACAGTCATGAACGCGCATTTGGACCTTGAACCGTTTGGTCCCCATTGAAGTCCATTATATGGAGAAAAATCCTGTAATCATCAAAAACCTTAATTTATTGTGAACTAGTGGAGGAAAGTGAACTATTCCTTTAATCTCAGTGTCCATATCAGTCAAATAAAATAAATCCTTGAGAGCCCCTGATAAAATTACAGAAAAATACACAAACCTGTGTCAGGGAGGGGGTGATCTATCTCTCTAGCAGCACCTTTAGCAATGGAAACCATGAATAAACCACAGCTATCATGTTTTTATTGCACCTTTAGAAAAGGCCATAATGTTTCCGACACATAAACGAGAATGATGGTGAATGAACTGTGTGTGTGACTGACCCGACGTCTCGTCCACACGCTCCTCTATCGTGTGCTCTCTCTGATGGACCCACTCGCTGTTGCACTTGAAGTAGATCTGTGCGGCTGGCGTTGCCGTGCAGAAGAGATTGACAGCTTTGTTCTTGACGATGTAAGCGTCTTCCGGCTCTAGGAGGAAGTGTGGGAGCGGTTCCGGCGGGTCGCTCGGGAAGGTCTCTGGCAGCTCTCCCAAACCCAACAGGAAGTCATCATCACCTGGGACAAAAACACAGACAGCGTGAGCCTTGAAATCAGCACGAAATGGAAGTTGTGATAGTCTTTTCTTCCCTATTGTGATGTATATCTGAGAGAAACGGCTTCTCGAGCAAGAAAAAATGTAGGGTGGGACTTGATTTTGTCCATTGGGAATTGATTGGACGGTTGTGGCTTGCTATTGGTTGATCTCATGTGAGTGACAGGTTGCCCCGCCCCCATGCCAGTAAACATCAGAGAAACAAACAAACAAATCTATTGTTAATGAACAAACTAATGAATGAATTTATGAAATGAGGCAAGAATGAATAAATGAACAAACAAACAGGATTGGATGAATGAACAAATGGATGACAAATGAACAATCAACAAATGAACAAACATGTCATGAATTAACAAAATAATGAATGAATTTATGGCCAAATTAATCACAGAGAATGAACTAATCAAAAAACAAATGAAAGAATATATGAATCAATAAAAATTAATGAAAATGAACAAACTACTGAAAGAACACACAAATGAACAGATGAACAAATAACTAATGAAGAAATGATAAAAAAAATGAAGATAAATGAACAAATGAATCAATCCATAAACAACAAATGAACTGGATAAACAAATGAATAGGCAAAAGATCAAATTTGTATTACATCAATAAATGAACAAATTAGGATATGATCAAACATACTAACAATGAGCAAATTAACTAACTAACAAACTAATGAATGAATCAACAACCATAAGAATGAATCAATGACTCAATCCGTAAACTAATAGTAATAGAAAAGTGAACTGAACAACAAATAAACTCATGAATGAACAAGTATATTATATTATGAATTAAACAAGAATGAATGAATGAAAAAAAATCAATAAACATGATGAACAAACTAATGAAATAATTAACACAATAATGAATAGATGAATCAATCTGCAATTAATGAATCAAAAAAGTGAACAGAACAACAAATAAACTAATAATGAATGAACAAATGAACACGATATGAATTAAAGTAATGAATAAACAAATGGTGGAATAAATGGATTAAGTAATAAACGAATGAACGACTGAACAAAACTCAATGAATGGATGAATCAACACACTAATGAATCGAAGAACAAAGAAACAGATAAATGAACAGATTGAGCCTGATTGACTTAATGAACAGACAAAGAATGGAAATAACAAAGTAATGAATGAATGAACAAAAAAACAACAACAGATTAGTTATTTTGTAAAATATAAATTTACTTGTTCATGTTTGTAGCACAATTTCACATCCAGCACAAATGCAGAGATCTTCAACAGCAAACACACACACACACACACATTCACATAATGGATGGGTCGTAACCCAGGACATATCGATCCCTGGAGTCATCGATAGAAATACCGGATACTAACATTACACTAACACACACACACACACACAGAAAGAAAGAAGACAATGGCACGAGTGGCGGATTATTATGGAATGCCTTCATTAGATGCCCGCTGACCCGTCCTATGGCACACAGTCCAGCTCATAACTCTTATCTGACTGTCACACACACACACACACAGAGAGAGAGAGAGAGAGAGAGAGAGAGAGAGAGTTTCACCCCAAATTAACACTCTGTAAGGTACATTAGCTTCTATTAACGGGTCACGGCACAGCTATGGGATCTAATGACGGACCGCGGGCCGTGGGTCTGTGTTGTGTTTGCCAATGTTATTATGATACAAATGATGAATCATTTATTCAAATCCCTGATTAATCTTATACACACAAACAGACTCTGTGTTGTTTACTCTATAAAAACCAGGATAGGATAGAAAACACACAAACAAAACCAACTAAAGGCCTCAAACACACCTAAAGTAGTCGATGGGCGGGTCCGATTCCAATTCTGGGAATCGCGACTCCGTTCTAAAACGATTCTTGATTCATTTTTGTTCTTATGTTTAATGAGGTTAAAGACTTTTTTGTGTCACTTTTTTATGCGATGGATTTTTGCGGTTTTTGGATTTTCATAAAGACACTGACATTATGATGTTATGGTTTATATCAAGGTGTCATAAAAGACATCTCAAACAATGTCATATTTGCATTAAAAATGTCATAACTGAGCGAATAACACTCAATGACACTTGTCATAAACATGCATAAAACTTCCATCATATTCATAACATATGTCATGTCATGATTATATAGGTGTCATCTTCAAGTAAAGTGTTACCTAAATGACTAAACTGATGGACAGATGAGTTGTTTTGAACGAGATAAAATCCCTGGTTCAGCTCAAATGCAGAGAGCATTAGATAGTCACGCTCAGAGGCAGGGTGGAAAATAGTCACGGAAAACAGAATTATGTTGTAAGAAACCTTGACTAACATTATAAAGTGTAGAAAGAGTCCTCTGAACAGTTCTCTCTCTCTATTCTCTCTCTGGCTGTTCGCCTATCGTCTCACCTCTCCGGTGCCAGAGAGTCCAGTGTTGGTTTAGATGATTAACTCTCTTAATAATGGGACTTAAAGACCAAGCTGGGACCTTTGCAACACGAAAGAGGTCAAGTTTATCAGCTTAACCTTCCGCAGCTCGTGAGTGTATTATTGATGAACAGTGAACGGTCCACGACCGCAGGAATATTACAGGTTAAAAACAACTTAACCCCCATTCTGTGACACGTACACCGTCAGTCACTGCAGAAAACAATCCATCAGTTTGTAAAAATGAATAGAAATAGTGTTTACACTATGAATTCATAATGGAAGTCTATGGGACAATGAAGCATCGCACATGGTTGCCTTCGCTTATGTGCAATATCACTCACACAAGCTGCTGCTTCATTCATTGGACTGTAAAAATAAAATGAAGGCAGATGAATAGGAAAGTATTAAAATAATAATATAAGTAAAATGAATTAAATGAGTGTCAAATTATGAAAAATAAGTAGAAACAATGAAACATTGATGCAATAGCATGAGAAAAGAACCCATTAATTTAATAATTAAATGAATTCATATTATTATTATATTTCTCTTTAAAAAGAATGCCAGATTGAATGTCAGATTGTTAAATATACACTCTAAACAGTGCTGGGTTGTTTCGACCCATATTTGGGTCAAATATGGACAAACCCAGATGTTAAATGTAATTAAAAAATGTACAGTTGAAAGTGAAAGTTGAAGTTGGGTTCAAATTTTAAATGACATTTTTAACCCAAAATTTGGGTTTGTCCATATTCTACTCAAATTTGGGTTAAAACAACCCAGCATTGTTTAGAGTGTATGACTGAAATAAAAAAAGATCTCAAGTACTGATGAAAAATTGATACTGGTATATAACTGTTAACAATAAAACAAATTAATATACGTAAATAATATTCAATAAATTATAACTATTGTCTCTTTGTATATTAAGTATATTATTATATTAATAATTTACAAATATTATCTCTTCACCCTTACAGAAAGTACCACAATCAATCAATCAATCACTCACTCACTCAATTAACCACTCAATTAATCACTCACTCAATCACTCAAACAATCAATCACTAAATCACTCACTCACTCACTCACTCAATCACTCACTCACTCAATCACTCAATCAGTCACTCAATCACTCCTGACCTCAGACACACAATCAAGTTTGGCCAATAATGGCAGACAGGAAACAAGGAGCTGGCCTAAGTTCAGGAAGTAGTGCAGCTGTGCATAAGGTCAATTAATCCCTCAATCACTCAATCAATCATTCAATCAATCAAGCACTCACTCAATCAATCACTCAATTAATCACTCAATCACTCATTCAATTAATCACTCAATCACTCAATCAATCAATCACTTACTCAATCAATCAATCAATCAATCAATCACTCATTCAATCACTCACTCACTCACTCACTCACTCACTCAATCAATCACTCACTCACTCACTCAATCAATCACTCAATCAATCACTCACTCAATCATCCAATCAATCACTCACTCACTCAATCAATCACTCAATCACTCAATTAATCACTCAATCACTCACTCAATTAATCACTCAATTAATCACTCAATCAATCACTCAATCACTCACTCACTCACTCACTCACTCACTCACTCACTCACTCACTCAATTAATCACTCAATCAATCACTCACTCACTCACTCAATTAATCACTCAATCAATCAATTAATCACTCAATCAATTACTCAATCCCTCCCTCAATCACTCACTCAATCACTCAATTAATCACTCAATCACTCACTCAATCAATTAATCACTCAATCACTCACTCAATCAATCACTCACTCAATCAATCACTCAATCACTCAATCACTCACTCACTCACTCACTCACTCACTCACTCACTCACTCAATTAATCACTCAATCAATCAATTAAGCACTCAATCAATCAATCAATTAATCACTCAATCAATTACTCAATCCCTCACTCATTTAATCACTCACTCAATTAATCACTCACTCAATCAATTAATCACTCAATCACTCACTCAATCAATCACTCAATCACTCACTCACTCAATTAATCACTCAATCAATTACTCAATCCCTCACTCAATCAATCACTCACTCAATCAATCAATTAATCACTCACTTAATCATTCAATCAATCACTAAATCACTTAATTAATCTATCAATCAATCAATCAATCACTCAATCACTCATACATCAATCAATCGACTTTACTGAGATATCAGGCCACAGACGCTGTCGATAAACATTGAGTGTAAAATAACCCCGAATATTCCTTTAATATGAGCAGAGGTGATTAATCTGATCATAGATCAAACAGAAAAGACACACGGCACTCCAGAACTCCACTTCCTGTGTGTGTTTATGTGCATCTGTGAGTGTATTACACACAAAGTCAAGGAGAGGCAGCACAGCGTGGATGAGCTCTTATAATCAACAGTGTTTATCACTCGTCCCCAGACTCATCATTTACACACACCACTATGATAAATATCACATTTAATTACTGACCCAGCGTGAGGACACA